GGCGGCGGCAGGAGGGGGCTCCGGCGAGGCAGAGGCCGGGCGGAGGGCGCGGACGCGAGGACGGGGGGGGGGGGAGAGAACTTGGTCTCTCTCTCTCTCTCTCTCCCCCCCCCCCCTTGTCCGGAAGGATGTCAGGTTCTCTTGGATTCTCCTGCAGTCGTCGGGAGGACTGAGGGGGTGAAAGGAACTCTGACTGAGGGTCCGGTCGGTGTGTCGAGCGCCACGTTCTGCGCGGGGGCTTCTTCGGCCAGAGGACCGCCTCCCTCCCTCCCCCCCTCCTCGTCCTCGGATAGGTCTTCGGCTGCTGTTCGGGTCCCCCTCCCTCTCGAAAGAAGAGGCGTCCCGGGGTGCTGGGGGGGGGGAGCTCGAAAGCGCCCCCTCCGTCCCGAAGGCTTCCGCCGAAGGCTTCCGCCGACTGCTGGAGGGGGCGATGCCAGGGGGTTGGCCAGATTCCATGGGGGGAGGGGGCAGCCATCGCAGCAGTCTCTTGCGGCATAAAGGGGGCAGGTGGGTTGGGTGCAGGAGGGCGCGCGCGAAAGGTCCCCCGTTCCGAGGAAGGAAGTCTGCCCCCCCACCTGAAGAAGAAGGGGGGGCTGGGGCAATGTTCCCTCTAAGCTGTGGAGTCTTGTGAGCAAAAAATTTTACTTTGTGAGTTACTGGGGTTACAGTTGTGAGCCAGAGATTTGGCTACTGCATAAATCAGTTTGCTCTGGAGCCATCCTCTTCCTGAGCTAAGACAAAAATGTGTGAGCTGGAGGCTAAAAAACTGTGAGCTAGCTCACACTAACTCAGCTTAGAGGAAACACTGGCCCGTCTTGCAGGAGGTGGACTCAAAGGGTCGCCAGAGGTCGGAAAGCGGCACGGTAGCGCCAGAAGACCCCGGCTTAGTTTATTTTGTTTGTTTTTTTGTTTATTCTATACCCCGCCCTCCCCGCCGAAGCAGGCTCAGGGCGGCTTACATTAAAGTTACAGGAGATAAAACCCGCAATATCCATACCACAAGGTAAATATCAGAATAAAACACGGCATAAAAGCACAATGTCGTTTGACAAAGGAAGGGGGGGGGGGACGCAGCCGCGGGGAAAGGGGCTCCGGCAGATTCCGAGGCGGGAGGGGGGCTGCTCGGTTTGCCCGGAGCAAGAAACGCCGTGCTGGGTTGGTTCCCCTTGCTGGGTCGCCCTCGGCAGATTTTGCAGGGAGTCGCTTTGGGGCACTCTTTGGGTCCGCGGTGTCTGTGCCCCCCCCCCCCCCCCAATAATCCACTTCCCATCCACTTTCGGTGCACTTTCCAACTGGATTTTACTGTGTGAACTGGCAGGATCCAGTTGGAAAGTGCACCGAAAGTGGATTATCTGGGGTGCGTGACCCCGACTGGCTGCTTCCCGCCGGGCCAGGACCGCCTCTCCGCCCCGCGGACTAACGACATCTGCGTTCTCGTTCACGACCCGTTTTCTTTCTCCGAAGACAAGAACGAAAGCGGGACGGGGAATCGTTTGCTCGCTGCCTGTCGTCGTCGCTCGCAGGGTCACTCGTGGCTCCTTTGATCTGTCTCCGTTACTGTGTCATTATTATTCCCGGGGGTCGCCCCCAACGCCCCCTCTAAATTGCGGAGTCTTGTGAGGAAGAATTCTCCTTCGTGAGCTGCTGGCGTTAGAGTGGTGAGCGAGCCATTTGGCGACTGCATGGATGAGTTTGCTCTGGAGCCTGAGCCGAGGCAAAAACGGGTGAGCCGGAGGCTGCAAAACTGCGAGCTGGCTCGCTCGCACTCACTCAACTAGCTTAGAGGGAACCCTGGGCGCCCCGCGGGCCTGAAGCGGCGCAACAGAGTCGGAGTCGAGGGGCGCCTCTGAGGCCCACCCGGTTTGCTTCCCGGGTATCATCCGCTTTCGTGGGCACGCGCCCTGCTTCGGACACAGTGGGACAGAAGTCACCGGAGAGAGACCACCCGCGACTTCTGTCCCACGGTACCTGGAGAAGTGCGCCTGCGCACGAAAGCCGGTTATACCGGGGAATCGAACTCGGCGGGTCTTCTTCAAGGCGCCGGACTGGACCTGCAACAGCGGAGAATGAGGGAGCCTGCCTGCCCAGGTGGCCAAACTGTTGGGTGATTGAAAAAATGGTTTTTAGCAGAGATAAGACAGCCCAGCAGAGCTTGAGTAAAATAATTCAGATGGAGAGTCCAAGTGTGATTAAAATAGAAAGTTTTTACTACATTCTAGCATGGGGAAGGGTAACTGGGATGAAAATAACAACAGAGCTAAACGGCTACATCCTCACTCTACAAAGACAAAACTAGGAGAGAGAATGGCTGCTCTCCTTCTTCTTTCAGAAGAATGAGATACGCACTCCCGCTATCTAGTAAAAAACTAGACAAAACTATAAGAGTGATTATGGCTTCTCTCTTTCTTCTTCAGAAACAGCAAACAAAGACGGGAAGAGGAGCCATAAAATGCTAAAACACCTTGACACTTTCGTTCCAATCAAACTCCTAGATCAGGGAGAAATTCCCCCGGGCTTCTACTCCTAAAACAACATTGTTTACATGAGAAACACGTGACTTCCTGTGAGCAACACAAACAAACATTTAACCCCAGATATACTGAGTGTTTTCAACTTGTAATACTTGCGTCAAACGGGGGGAAGATGGACGGATGATGGACGGTTTGGAAGACGAAAAGACAAAGACGAAGGAGAGTTTATCCCCCTTGGGTCTGCTTTTGGACGAAGGTTGTAACATGCAAACGCATGGCTCTCTGTCACAGAGGAAACCAGGAATCCTTCCCTTTTCACCCCTTTCTACCTGTGTTAGTTGATCTGGGTGGTTTTTTAGCTCCTTTCCCCCCTCTTTGTTGTTCGTCTGGTTTTTTTTTTTTTTGCTTTGTTCTTTCCCTTTCTAAAAATTCATTGTATAAAACCCCAAATAAAATCCATATATAACAAAATTAAGGGTGCCACTGGACTCAGACGTTGTTGTTGTTGTTATCGTCCTAGCTCACGGCTGGCGGGAGGAAGGCGGGAGACGGAGAAAGGAAGACCCTTTTTGGGGGGAAGGCTCGAAAGAGTGCCCGGGAGGCCGCGGTCTGGTGGGAAGAAAGACGTTTTTTTGGGGGGGAGCCCAGGGGGGGGCCACCCTCCTCCCTGTCTGGGGATACCGGGGCCGGGGCTTCCCGTCGGGCGCTTCTTTAGGCGGAGAAGAGGCGTCGGGGTCCGTTTCCCTCCGGGGGGTTTGGAAGCGCCTGGCGTGTCTTCAGCGAGTGCTTTTCGTTAAGCGGCGGGAAGAAGAGGAGAGCGGTCAGAAGGCGACGGCCGCCTTCAGTATTTGCGGGGGCTTTTTTGGTTTTGGTTAGTTAGTATCGTCCCTTGATAGATCCGGATGGGCAGCTGCCCGGTCAGTCTGTCTGTAGCAGGAGAGTCCAGAAACACCTGAAAGCGACGCTCCCTCTAAGCGGTGGAGTCTTGTGAGCAGAAATTCCACTTTGTGAGCTGCCGGCATTGAAGTTGTGAGGGAGCCATTTGGCTCCTGCATCAATGACTTTGCTCTGGAGCCCCATCCTCCCTGAGCCGAGGCAAAAAGGCGGAGGCCAAAAAACTGTGAGCTGGCTCACACTAACTCAGCTTAGAGGGAACAATCCCTGAAAGACGGACAAAATTGGCGGCAGGGGAGGAGCTCCGGTGAGTCACGGCTCGCTTCTTCAGATACAGCTGGAACGGGACAGAGTTCGAGTCCAGCGGCACCTTTAGGACCAACAAAGTTTTATTCAAGGTGGGAGCTTTCCTGTGCAAGGCGCACGTTCGTCAGACAATGAAATGGAATGACAGATCATACTTGCAGATATACAGGGTGGCTTGTTCAACTAGCATGGAAAATAGGGAAGTGTTTTTGAACAGATAAAAAGAGTGACATGCTCGGTTTCTGGTTATCATCTGTTTGGGTTCAACTGGGGGGGGGGGCGGCGGCGGCCGGACAATATAGGTAATAATAAATATGCCAGAACTGGAGACTGATGTGCCCTAAACTGTAGGAGAATTCAGTCATGAGATCATCTCATCCATCTCCTTTCTAGTCCGGTCGACTGGTGAGTGGAGTCCTTCGAAACCCCGCTCCGTTCCGGCCGGACCTGCCGAAGGGAGCCGCGACAGACTCCCCCGCCACAAACCGCGTTCGTCTTGGAGGTGCTCCTGCTGCTGCTGTTGCTGGACTCTGGCTCTTTCCCGCGGTGATCGCAGGAGTTGTTCTTCTTCTCGGTCAATTGTCTGCCTGTCGGAACGGGAACCCCCCC